CTTTTACTCAATGAATGTTTTTGTTGACAAGCCAGTTTTAGCAAATGATATCTTTTGAACTATAGATGGTAGAGTGATCAAATGATGGGTGACGTCAGTGAGTGATCAGATTTTCAAGGTTTTTATGACTTGTACTTGCAACATAAGCTAAAATAATTTGAGTTTTAACTTTTAACTCTTTAAAGTAAATATTTTTGTCTAAGCATTACTTAAAATTTCGACCAAAATTTTTGGGGTGATTCAGTCAAAAAATATAACTTTTTTTAAATTAAGTTGTAGTCTTTGCTTTAAAGAGTCTAGTGTCAACGCTTTATTTAGAAATACATAATAGTTCTGAAACTATCAACTGCTAAAATCATTGATTTTTTCCACTATATCCGCCATTATAGTTGTTTGCTTTGAATTTTTTTTATTTTATTTTATATAATTTGCACTTTTAAAGACCTCTTAAAAAATATATAGTTTAATAGCATGCGATACCAAGTTACTAGTTTAGTTTTATCAGGGGGCATATTCCTTAAACAGAAAATTAAAACAAAAGCAAACAAGGTGAAACGACTACAATGGGCTCGCAAACATGCAAACTGGATAATAAGTCAATGGAAAATAGTAGTATCGAGCGATGAGTTCAATTTTGAAATATTTGGCAACAAGAGAAGAATATTTGTACGCCGGCACCAAAATGAACGTTACATTCCGCAGTGCGTTGTGCCTACTGTTAAGCATGGAGGACGTTAAATAATGGATGTTCCATAGGTCACAAAATAGAAGATATGATTAGAGTTCGTGGAATTATAAAAAATAAGCAATACAAAAAAATTTGGAGAATCATGCCATGTGTATATATATATATATATATATATATATATATATATATATATATATATATATATATATATATATATATATATATATATATATATATATATATATATATATATATATATATATATATATATATACTTACTTAACCATTCCAACTGGGTATCCCACATACTCTTATTGCAATTCTGTCAATGGGAACCAACTGTGTCCCACCTGGGATTACTTTGGGTTTTTGACGGGAAATCCTATTATGAAGCTAGATATTTTTTTTAGTTACCGCGGGTTTTCTTAATTTTTTATAGCTTGTTTTTAGAAGATTTTTTTATCTGGAATCTACGAAATATGTAACAATTTTTTGATTAAAAAGCGTCGCATTTTTTATATAAAATTAAAAAGTAAAGGTTATTTATATTATCTATTTGAAATTCGCTGCCTATAGAATAAGCAAATGAATATTTGGAATACTAGACAAATGAATACTTGGTCTTTACGAATCTATTGAATTTTGTATTAAAATTATTTTCAAAATAAAAATTCAGTTATAAACAAGCATATAGTACTTATAGTAATATATATAATAGTTATATTCATGATCTGTCAAACATAACTCATTTCAATTATCATGGATTAAATATATTGTTTAGTTTTATGTTGGATTTGGGCTACATTTTGAAATTATATATTAAATTTATTTTACAACAGATTCTAAAAAATATACAACACCCTAGTAAATTAGTTTAAAAAATCATTATACATAGATAACTTTTAAACTTTACTACATTGTGACAATGGCAGCATGAAATGATGACAATACAAGCTGCAATTAAACTAATAAAAAATTGACTATTGAAATCATATTGCATGAATAACATACACCCTTTACCATATATAAATACTATACTAGTAAATACTATTCTAGTAATCAACAGATAATTGAAAATAAAAATAAAAACAAACTATCATTGAGGTACCATATGAAGTTTATGTGAAAAGTCCATTAAATCTATATTCATTGCAAATCAGATCACACTACTGTACATGTAGTTTTTAAACAGTTTTTAATCATATATATTCATAAACTTTTAATAAAAATAATGTAAAACAAACTATTCTTGGTCTAGAAATATGTGCTATCATAATAACATTCACATTTTCTAGCATTTTACAATCCATCTTCTATTCACAGAATTTATCGATTCACAGAAGACCAGGTTTCAGAAAGTTCATAAAAGTAAACTTTCATGAACTTTCTGAAACAAAAATATTCAAAATAATGTTGTCAGATTAAGCGTAAACTTACTAGATTTAGATGAACCATTTCATAGAAGATTTTACATAACTTTAATGAATAAAAAAATAATAATATATAAAGTCCTGTGATAGTTAATTAAAAATCATCTTAAAACCTTAAAACTCAACATTTCCCTCTTATAGACTAGCCAAATTGTTTTTTAAACTAATGTTGGATTATTGCTATTAAAATATATACACATTTATATTTTAAAGAATTTAAAACATGTATTTAATAAATAAATATTCAAACAAAAAGTGATTTTGTTTGAATATATTTAGTTTTTTTATTATTACAGACAAATAAAGTTAAATTTAAAAACACCTAACAATTTTTGTTATACTTCCTATTTATTACAAATAATTCAAAATATAAATAATTAAATTTTTTTCATATAAAACTTTATATTATAACTTATAATACCAGTTAGAGTATTTGTAATATAACTAATAGTTTATATTATTGCTTAACATAATACTGCTCATTCGTGCGCGTTTACACGGAGATTTTTTACCATACTTGACATCTCAATTTTATGATTAATAGGATTTAGCATGCTCTTTCTCTGCATACTTTTGAAATCAAGCGATAAGTGCTCAAACATTATTAATCTGTTAATATATGCTTAATCAGTAATGAGATCGAAAACTTTGCTTTATCAGCTTAATTAGTAATAAGATAGACATTTTTTATTTGATAACTTCTGTAGTATAGGATGAACCTTATGTTATTTTTGAATTAGTAAAGTAACTTCTAAGTCAAGTAATTTATTCAATTCATGTATTATTATAATGTCACAATTCAAGTCTTTTGTCAATTGTATTTAAAGTATATTATTCTTTAATTTATAAATTAGGAGACGATGATTACTTTAGAAGACGTTGCTCTTTTCAAAAATTAGGAGATTGATAAAGTTAGTGCTCTCCAAAACGTAAAGTTAGTGTTCTCCAAAGTGTTTTCCAAAACCCATTTATCTCACACGGTCAACTTGTTACATTTTAAATAACAAGATTGTTTAATACCTGATTTTAAATAAGTTAAAAAAAAATCTGTTCGCTTTTACATAAAAAACCAGATCGTTTGATCTTTTGTTTTTGCAAGTGTTAAATATTTATTACGAGGTATGTCATTAAACAAATATTACAAAAATAAAGTTGTATTTGTTAAGTTTACATTTCATATATTTTTCTTAATTTATATATTTATTTTTATTTGTGTGTTATTTATTATGTGTTTATATGTGCTAAGGTTATAAGAGTTTATATTTTGTAAGTGTGAATATCTTTTATATATTAATATTTCTATGTTTGTGGTATAATGAAATTTGTTTATAGTTTGTAAGTGATTATTATGTTGTTTTCATGGTTTCAAATTGTGGTGACTTGGCTTTGTTTACAGCAAGAGTGATGATCTTGCTAGCCAAGTGGTGTACTGTCATGATGTAACACATAAATTAAATCTGTTTGTAGTTAGTGTAGACATAAAAAGTGTTAAAAAAATATTGTTAAAAGAAGGTCTTTACGAAATGTTCAAAAGATATAGTTTTTTAATATCTTTATACCTATAATATTTTAATTTTTAAGTAAATTTTATTGAATAAATTTATACTTCATTTATTTTTTATACTGTTACTTCTTGAGTAAATTTGTTTAAAGTATATATACTCTCTTCTTATTTGTTAACAATTACTGCCTTTTATGATAAATTTTGTTAAAAAACTGGCTTCCTTTTCACAAACAAATATAATTTTTTATAAAGGTATGTATAAAAAGTGTTACATAAGTTTTAGTAACTTTAATTAAATGTTTAGAACTTTTCCTAGAGAGAATGCTATCTCCATATTAATATTTTAATGTTTTATATATTTACTGTTAAATATATTTAGAATAATAATTATATATAAAACAATTAAAGCAGTTTAACGAGTTTTAGTATTTTCAAGTTTCTTCACTTATAGTAAATATATGATTGTTTATATAGGTTTCCTATTAATAGTTTCGTATTTACTTATTAATTGCAAATCTTGCATTAAATGTCTTTCAAAGTAATGAAAAGGATTTTTCGACAAAGGATTACATTTCACCATTCAATGCTGTGCAGTATTTGCTTAACAGACAGCCCCTACAATTTTTTGAATTTGCTTTTTTTAAGAGTTCTTTTCGGTAAAAATTTTGTAACTTTTAATAATTACTTTTTATTGTTTTTTGATAAGATACTAATAATATTTTGTCAATAATTATTAATAACTACATTAAATACATAATATTATTCATTACTTATATTAATTTATTTATAACTTTAGTTTAAATTATTGATAGAAATATGTTATCTTTACCTATTGCTATATTTTGTTTTATAACATCTCATTTAATTACCACTAATAGTAGAGGTAGAATATAATTAAACTATTATACTATACTCTGTTTTATTTGACTACACTTTAATTAAGATAAGATAAAAAAACAAATAAAAGTTTAATTTTAAAATAAATATGCAACTTTTACTATATTAGGCATCATTTTTACATACTCCTTTGATGCTTACCCAGCCAGCCAACACATCAGGGTACCATATGGGACCCATACGGGCTTTGATACGGGACCCATATGGGCAACCCGTTGCTAGCCCAGCGGGAGATGCAAATGGGCTCCACACGGGTCCCACACGGGCTTCCCGCTGGGAAACCCATATGGTTCCCGTATGCAGCCCATTTAATTAGCCCATATGGTGCCCGTACGGTTACAACAAGGGAAATCTGTATACAGCCCAAAAGAAGCCTGCAAGTATCTCAAGTCTCATAAGCGCGATTTAAGCGTTATTTAACTTCTTCCATAAAGTCAATTTCGTCATAAAGAACTAGAAACGCAGAAATAAAACCCAGATATAATGTAAGCTATTTTTTTTTAATAAAAAGTAATGTTAAACAAATTTGTCCATATTTTCTGACGGAGTAAGATAATCTGCATCTAGTTCAGTCGAGTTAACATTGACAGCGACTTTACCAGATCTACGACTGTTACTTCCACGATCACGTGAGTTAGCAAACCAGGTTGAAAGTTCAGTTTCGATTTCCTTTTGCGTGCAATTTTTTGTGCTAGGATTTAATTTAACAGCACCTATTTATTTAACAAAAGCATATTAAAACACACACACACACATATATAAATTTATATATATATATATATATATATATATATATATATATAAATATATATATATATATATATATATATATATATATATCTATATATATATACATATATATATATATATATATATATATATATATATATATATATATATATATATTATATATATATCTATATCTATATATATATACATATATATATATATATATATATATATATATATATATATATATATATATATATATATATATATATATATATATATATTTATATAAATAAATTTATTTATATATATATATAAATATTTATATATATATATAAATATTTATATATATGTATATAAATTTATATATATACAGTCCGCGAAATTCACAAAAGGTCTTTTATGAATTTACACGCTTGTAAATATCACGCGTGTGAATAACACTGTGCCGACCTTAGCTGACCTCAGGTCGGCAAAAAAAAAAAAAAAAAAAAAATTTCGCTTTCTGTTACGATAGGAGTAATGATTAATTGATTATAAAAGGATTGCTGTATAATACCATAACTTCAGACTATAATATTTTTAAAAATGTAGCCATTAAATTTTGTGTAGTAAATTAAGTTATAGCAAAACTAAAACTCGTTCCACTGTATTTGTAATTTATAAACGGTTTTTTCGATTTTTGATTTTGTACTTTATGGCTGATAATTGAGTATATGTTTGATAATTGTCTATATTGGGTAGACTTATAAGCAAAAATTACAATACAAAAATTAATATATAAATCAATTTTATACTCACTACAAAGAACTAAATGAAGTGCATTTGTTTTAAACGATTGTTTTCCTTTTTGCCCGGTTAAATTGAAGCTACGAGCAACAAGGCTATCTAGCAGCATGGGCATTGACCTCATAATAAAATTTCTCAAATTTTCTCCACCAATATCAGCAATATGTTTGGCCTAAAAAAAAGTTTGATGCAAGTTATGGTGAACAGATATATAAAAAAAAATTAAAAAAAAAATTGAAAAGTTGTTCACAACTGCATTGTTTACAACAATTACTTAATATAAATAAAATTAAGTAATTAAAGTAATTATTTTTACAACTATTTTCTTTATTCCGGGATTTTCCAGCTTCTGTGTTAAAATATCTATTTCTTCCATTGACTTAGCTGGTAATGGAATACCTTCTGGAAGATCTGGAGAGATATGATCATTTAAATCAAGTTTGCGGCGGATAGATTGAATTTGTGCTGTATGCATTGCTTGAGTCTTTTTTATATCTTCCTGATTACTAATTACAGTTGCTAATAAATTAGCAATCATCTGTAGATTTACAGACTCACCTAAATAAAAGAACTTTGCTGCATTAAACATAAAGACATTTAAAAACAAAATTTCAGATTTATAACACTGGTAAATAAATTGTAAGAACTACGTTATTTTTTCCAGTAAGAGTGCTCAACATATCGTCTTATAAATATGTGTAGCAATTATTATTATAGTAAAAACTAAATAATTATTTAGGTTTATTTGATAACATGACTTCAAGTTTCACGCAACAGATATTTATATATATATATATATATATACATATATATATATATATATATATATATATATATATATATATATATATATATATATATATATATATATATATATATATATATATATATATATATATAAACTTATTCATAATTATACATAATTTATATAACTAACACAACTTTGAATAAATATATATATATATATATATATATTACATAGTAAAATTATTTTACTAAACGTTCTTATTTTACTAACTATTTTACTAAACATATTTTACTAAAATATTTATTTCAGTTAACATTATATTTTTATTATTATATTTCATTAGTCATTTATTTAAGTTAACATTATATTATATAATTGGCACAATACCTGTTAATAACTTATGATTAATTGTTTGAACAGGTGATGATTTGTTTTGAAAAGAGGCAGAATCTATCAATATACTTTTCGATTGAGAATATTTTGATGTTGAACTGTTACATCTACAAGAAATAATTTTGAGCTCAATACTAAATTAAACCAATGATATAACTTTAAACAAGTTAACAATTTATCAAAACACATATTATTAAGTATCAAATATATTATAACACTGGCGTATGTAATGGTAATACACCGAAACTAATAGATTTTATGTCCGGATACTTTTATTTTTAAAAATTAATTTCTGTCTATTAGCAAATATACAAGTGTTATAACAGTTTTTTTCTTTAATGAATATCCAGCATATCTGGCAAAAATAAATGGTTCATTAAATTTAGCCATTAATTAGATAATTGTATCAATACTTGTCTATTTCAAAGTCTAGTCTTGCAGCTGGTAAAACATTAGACTCGCAATTGCTCAACTCAATATCACTTCCATAACTGTAAAAGAAGTAGAGTATTAGCAGATTAATAAGCAGGTTTAATATATAAATAATTTCATAATGGTTAATTATAAATAAAGATGTTATTGTGTTATAAAGTGACAACAAATAGACTGTTACTTACAGATTCAGCAAATTTTCTTTTTTTGAATGAGTCTCTTTGTGAATAAATGGTGGAGTAGGTTTGTCTACTTGAGTAACACAAAAATCATCGGGTGTTCTTTTTTTGTGCCAAGTTTTCTTTTTACTTTATAAAAAAAAAAAGATTTGGATATATATCATTCTCATTATTAGGCTTTATACATAAAGCATATTAATAGATACAGTATCAATATAGTATACAGAGTATATAGTACAATATAGTATACAGAGTATTGGATATAGTAACAATAGATAAAAAATTAGTAAACAACTCTTTATAATAACCTTGGTATAATCTGATCATAATCTTCTCCTTCATTCTCAGAAGAACTAATCATTTTACACCTAAACAGTTTTATAAATACATAATAAAAATATTTCATATTTTTATTAATATTTATTAATAATTTCTGAAATTAAAGTTACCTTTTAACACGTTTCAATGCATTTTCTTCTGCTGTATCTAGGTTGGAGGTGTCCTCGGCTCTTTTCGCTTTTGACCGTGCTTCAGTAAGACTGTCTATAAATAAATTGAAAAACAATACATTAAATAACGTATTGTATTAAACTTGCAACACAGAGGCATTTTTTTAGCAATGAATTATTAATAAAATATAATTATAAAAGCATAACATTAATTTTACCTGCAATTTCTAGTATTCTAGCAGTAAATAAAGGCCAATGCACATCCGGATCCATTAGATTATTTTTAGCCTTTGCAATACTAGTTGGATTTAAATTTTTACCATTTGGCCAAAAGACTTTAACAGATACTTTATTTTTAATACTGGATGGAAGTGAATTGATGTCAACTCCACTTATCCAAGTTGGTGGCATATAATCTGTTGTATTAGTTTCATCGAATAAAACTATTGCATACATAATTATACTGTATCACAAAAACAAAATTAAAAAAATATACACCAGACTAGCCTCTTATGTTTGATCTGATATCATACAAGCCTTGCCGGGAAGTAAGAGGTATTGCTCTCACATTAACCTTTGAGCTTTGATTTATCAAATGATATTATAATATAATATACCATAAAAGTCATAATAATCATAAAATGTATTGTGTAATTATAATATATATCAAAGCTCAAAGAATGACGCAAGAGCTATAGTTCGCGCTTCCTACTAAGGCCTGTACATGTGAGTATATTATGTTTCTATTAAACTATTTATAGAAAATAATAATCGCAAAGTATCGATTAACATAATAATCGTAAAACTGAATAATTGCAAAACTAATAATGAAATAACAAAGTAATAACTTTATAAATAAGTCGAATACTATTTTTACTTATCAAAATATAACAATTTAGTAAAGTAATTGTATTGCACAAGTTATTTGATATACTAAAAAAAATGTATTTGTGGAATAACTACAAAGCCGTTTTTAAATGGTAGCTTAAAATATTTAATATTTAGTTCTTTTAAAAAAATGTTGTTGTATTAAATGACACATTTTCCACATAATATATGGAAAAACTTGTTGAATCAAGAGGATCCATAAAAAAAGATTGCTTATGCTGAAACTCTTGGCAGACAACACGAGCATTAACCTCTGTGCAAATTACATCAGTTAATATGTTTTTGACTAAAATGATTTTATTATTAACACCAAAGCAGTTATCAGCAGTAGCAAGAGAAACCAGAAATTGTGGTCCAAAATATTGCTTGTATTGAATGTAATGACGTAATGGCAATGGTAGTGGACCTAGCAAGTGTTTTTGTCGAAATTTAGACGGTATACTGCTGCCTAATCTTGATTGGTGTAAATGACCTTCCAAAATTCGTCGCACAATTTGTGAGCAAGGTGATTTAGGTCGACGAACCAACTTTTTTAGTCTTCCCAAATAGCTTTCGAAAGGAAAACAAGAAACATTATCTAACACGCCGAATTGCCTAGCATCATCTGGTAAGTGTATCAACGAATGAATATTGTAAACACACTGATCTTTTCCAAATAACAAGCAAAAATTATATACAAAATACTTTAATAAGTTTTCTACATAATTGAAGTAGTTGTAGTTACACAATGATGGTGTCATAAGTATGCGAATAGCTACAGAGAGACACAAAAAATTGGAATATACAGAATCAGAAAGAATACCTTTTAAAACAACAGGGCCAGTATATAACAAAAATTGTCTCAGTTCTGTAGCTTTCCATTGCTTAAACTCTAAAAGAGATCGAGGCTTTCGAGAAAACTCTCTAGGAATATAAACTCGTAGAATAGCAAGTTTTTCAGATATAGCATCAATTGTTGATCTTGATAACTTATGCTCAGATCTACCATTGACTAACTTGTTTATATACCTGCGAACTGTTCCTAAAAATACTGAATGCATGCTATCAATTGGAAAACCACTAACTAATCCAATATTTAATTCCTCAATAGGTGACATACGTGAACCATCATGATGATTTTTATCTGCTTTGTTTTTAAAAGTGATGTCCGATCTCAGAGGTGCGGCTAAATTGGGCATAATGACTTTGCCATACCACTTACCTTTTTGAAAGCAGCGTTCACAAGAATGATATGCATTATGTGGTTTAATGCACTTTACAAATGCTCTGGCTGGTGCATCACAAATAAAAGCCTCTAACTTTATTAAATAGTGCTTCCCAGTTGCCACACAAACAAAACCTATTCGTTCTAGTGTTTTTATTTCAGCAACAAAATCTTTTAAATAATCCTGCAATGAGTTAGGCTTTGTTTTACCAAAATAAAGTGCAAGTGGAAAAGGATACCAATCAGCGTCTCGAACAGAGCAAAGAATAGGCCACAAACTGGCAGTTGAGCTATTAAATAATGGCACTCCATCTATATTTATATGCAGATACAATTTACTAATTTCAGACCTGATAGGATACCTTTCCATTAAAATAGAAAGCCAATGTTTTAATCCAAAATAGAAATATTCTCCGCCTGCAATACTTTTTATAGTGATGCTTCTTTCAGTTTGCAACAAACTTTTTGCATCCTTTGGCAAATCAGGATGTGATTGTCTTAACAATGAAAGCAAATCTGAACATGCATTATGTGAAATGTTAAATTTTAAAACCCATGTTTGTAACTGACTCTGAAGGCAATCAGTATTGACATCGTACTCTACAGCTTCGTCTTCATCGTGACTTACTAAGCTAGTTGTTTCATCTTGGTTTTCAAATTTACTGCCTGTATCATATAAGCATATTTCAGTTTGTGCTGGAATATCATCAGCGCTAATAAGCTCGTTATCACGAGGCATAACTTTATCATTATTTTGATAATTGTGTTCATTGTCATAAATATCATTATTACTATGACTGTTACAAATTTCTGAAAAATCATCAACATTGTCATCATTTTCATTAATACACATAGAATTGTTTTGAGAACTAGCATCAGAAAATATTCTATTAACAACAGCATTTATTTTCCTCCTTTTTGTAGAATATGAGTATAAATTATTAGCCATTCTGAAAATAAAGAAAAGCAGAACTGTAATAAACTAAAATAATTTAAATTAACAAACAGAATTTAAATTAACAGTAAATTAGTAATAGAATACAATGCTGTAATAAATATATAAACTATATATAAGAATAAAAATTACTATAAGCCTTCTATATATATAGTATATATATAGAAGGCTACAAATATCTCAAACCCTTGATAAATGGAACTTCCAGTAACTAATTTTGAATACTTAAACTAAAACCTTATTTCTATTATAATCATGATAAATTTAACATTCGCTAACTCAAACTAATTTCTTGGTCCCTTGGAGGTTCAAGTTATCAGAAGTTTGCTGTATATAGGTATAAATATGTAGAACTTTGTCAATCATATAAGTTACCAAGAGCATTGAGCATTCCCAAGAGCAAGTTTAGCACTTTATATAACGTTCTTTATATAAAAAAGGTTATATAATATGTAATATATAATATAATATATATAGTATATATACACACAAATGTATGTGTGTGTGTATTATATTGTCTTTAGAAGCAAATAAAATCTACTTGCTTGATCTGTTTCGAGAATTTTAAGTCTTGAGGCCTATCAGTTATCAGTTTATCTTTTTCAGATATTATTAATAGAAAAAATTAGCACTTGCCATATTTTAACTATTAATTAACTAAAGATTAACAATAGATAACAAATGATATTAAAATTATTATATTTTAATACTGTGGTATTACCATTTTTAGGTGCATAACTAAAATGTCGTTAACTAACTTTTGAAACTAAGTTTTATTAACTAACTTTTTAAATTTAAAAAGTTATATAAAACTAACATTGGTTTCAAACAAGTGTTTTAAACAGTGTAGTTTGAAATCTATATAAATCCTATACAAACATCCAACTATAAATAAGAAAATTATTATGAATAATTTCATGAATTATCTTAAAAAAATTTATTATATTTTTATAATTATTATAAAATTTTATAAAAATTATATAGAATTATATAAAAAATTATATATTTAACTAAAATGAATCATTTTAATTAAAATACTATAAAATAAGTTGCACGTTGCGAACCGATTAGCCATTTTTATTTTGAAAATAACTTTTTTCAATTCCGCCTCGATATCAAAAAATGTAATACCGTGTTTATTGCTTTCCCATATGGGTCCCAGACCGAGCCCATAAAAAAAGCCCTCGCGTATCCCATACCAGATACCCAGACGACTCCCATACGGTACCCATATGCGCTGGTTGCCTGGGTAGTTATGTCTGTTAATCAAAGATGTAAAATTATAAGGATTCGTTGAAATTAAAAAAATTAGGCTATACAAAATGTCGCCAAAATGAAAGAGATGAGCTAGGGTAGTTGATGTAAATTGTTGTTGAAATGAAAAAGATTTTAAAATGAAAGTATGAAAGGTTTTCATACAACCAAAATTGTTCTAAAACCAAATCACTTGCATTACACATGCATAACAATTCATTTGCATAACATTTGCATATATACATGCATAAACAAGGTATGTCATTGAAAGAAAATTACACAAATTATTAGTTATATTTGTAAATGTTCTTAACATAAGGTTTTAGACAAGTATTTTTATGTCAGAATGTGGTAATGTGTGTTATGTAAGAATATAGAGTTCTATATTTTGTTAATGTTACTGTGTTTGTGCTGTTAGTAGTTAAAATATGAACAATAAACTCTGAATAATTCATAACACATAAATTAAACAAATTTTAAAATTTCATTTGAGTCTTTCTTTATTGATTCTACTGCCAATTTACTGCATTTATAACAAGCTAATTTCTTAGTCCCCTTCAAGGTTTGAGTAATTTAAAGTTTACACTGATATGTTATGTTATTTGTTAATTTTGTGATGTTGTTGTGTTGTTTTGTGTTGATAGATTAGACGACATGGTTTACTTTTACGTTGAGGTCTTTAATTTAAAATAATTGTTTGGTAGCTTCATTACTGAAAAGATTCAGTTTTGAAATAAAAACTATAAAAAAAGCTATATCTTAATGTGATCACTTATTTTTAGCCTTGCTTTTTTAAAAAGTTTGTTAATCCAAACTTGCAACAATAAATCTTGAAACTTTCACAAAAGATAAACAACCTCACAAAGTAAGTTGCTTATTTATTATCTGTTTAATCAAATTCAATT